CCGGTTCGGTTCGGCCCGGTTCGATTTTTGAAGACATGGAATCGGATCCAAAACTGGTCCGGTTTGGTTTTTGACCCGTTGTTGACTTTTTGGTCAACTCAATTTTTCTCGGGTTTGGTTCGGTGTGATTGGGCTCGGATTTTTGATTCGCCGGTTTGAGTGCCCACCCCTAATAGAGAGTATCCAATTCAGTTCAATACTAGTCACCAAACACGACCAGAATGAGGAGATGTTATTCTTAATCTTGCTATTTATTTTGCCCAAGTCTTTTAACTACAACTAACTAAAAAGAGTGCTACTTATTTGCTACCGACAATATCGTGTCACCATATTTGAAATGCTAATTTTTTATTTTTATTTTTAATACAAGTAATAATCTAAATTATTCTAAAAATTACTCTAATATATGTGAAAGGGAATTTGAAATTGGTGTAAAATGGCTGACACATTACCCTGATTAACTAGCACAACCCAAATATGCGCTAGTATCTTACTTGGATAATGAGAAGCATTCATTTCTTTATTTATATTTAGCAAAAAAAGAAAGATATTCCATCATAACGGAAGTACCTTAGCGCTCATCTTGTAATGTTTTACAAAATCATTTCTCCTAGTGTCAAATAAAACACTATCTATGGAAGGAGGAAGAAGCGTCATTGTCTCTCCTCCCTCTCTCATTTTCCGTTTCCTTTTGGGTTCATGAATAAGTCTCATGGCCATTTTGAATAAAAAGTCATTTGAGGTGATTTCTTTTGACCTATGCTCAAATCAAAGTTTTTCATCACCTCTTTTAGACTGTGCCCTAATAGGGTAGAATTTGAACCAAGACCATTTTGAAGTAACAAGCTCATCTTACGGTACCAATTGGGCCACATGTTCATTCATGCTTAGGAGCTTCTCAGATAACTATATTCCATTTTTACAGATGCCAAAATTAATAATTATTTCCTTTTGTGTATTGTAACATCATTGTTTTTTTTTTTTCCCTCAAACTACGTTTATTACATAATTAATCACATATTAAAATACAACATAATTATTTCATAGTTTTATTAAATCATAAATAACAATATTTCATAAATATTATAATTATTGAATTGTATATACTATGATTTCATTATTCTTTTTATCAAAATGTTATGATATATTGAAAATTATAATTTTAAATTTTTCCTTACAAACTCATTGATCAACTTTTACCATTGACACGTAATTTGGGCTCTTAGAAACATTTAGGGCCTATTTAAATATGGCAGGATTTGGGGTGTGGATTTGCATTTGAATCCTTAAACCCAAATGCAGTTGTTTGTGTACACCTTAATGAACTGGATTGGATTTGGGCCAAATTCACATGGAATTTTATAACCTGAATCTAAAGATTTCAAATACCTTCTTTCTTTTCCTACCTTTTGGCGAGGTAGATTATATGTATATTAATTATGTCCACAGTACAGTGTCTAGTTTTTATGATTTTGTACATGTGGTTATGAATTTTTTTAGAAATTAATGCTCAAAATGTGAAAGTAACAAATGCATCAAATATAGATGAAGTGAACAACCATATCAATTAAAAAATATTAATAAATCATAAAAGAAAAGAAAATGTTAAATTAATTTTAATTGATGTGGTTGTCCACCTGATATGCCATATAATATGGTATGAAAATGTGATATACAAATATAGTAAGAGTAGCATTATATGAGTGCTACTAAAAGAACCCTAAAATTAACTGAGTATACCATATGATCTGAGTACACCCTAATATTTTAATCAAAATGTAAAATTAACTAAGTACACCTTATTTAACTACCAGAAATACCTCTGATACACCCTAATACACTCTATCACACAATACCCTGATGCCAATCCTAAGTAGTTAATTATGAGTAGTTAATTCAACAAAAACATACCTAGTTTATAATTGGTCAAGAAATTGACACATTACTTTTTGGAAAAACCGAATCAAACAAAATACATAGAGATAGTGTTGGTCCGTCGCAAATCTCGCAGCCTGATGCTTCGGGCCGAGGGGATGTGCGTCAACACATGACGTCCTCCTTTTGGATGTGGTGCGGTTGTGCGCAGGCATGCCAGCACGGTGTACCGTGCGTCGAGATGATGATGAGGTTCGGGTAGAAGATGGTTCAAGTGTTGCGCTTGTTTTGCATTGGACTTCTAAACAAACAATTGTGACCGAGTGAGGAATGAATCTCGGCCGTCAGGTTCACGGCCTGAGCTA